TGCTAGATTCGCATTTTATTATGCATTTGCTGCTGCTGCCGTGGTGGCTGTCCCGTTTTTTCAGAGGGTCTCTGCTTCTTTCACCGAAAAATCTGCATTACGTATGCGCCCCGTTGGCCGAGAGCGCATCTCAGCCCTGCCTTTGCGGCTGCTGCATTTGCTACTTTGCAAATTTATTACAAATTTTTACATACGATTTATTGTCTGCGCTGAGCTCGCTGACTCTGCCCAGTTCGAGGAGGCATCCGGAGTCATATTCCTATTGTTCCTTGCGGAAAAGCTTTAAAGTCCCCCGGGGAGGGCTTAACGTATAACGTATACGTATACGTATATATTCTACGTATGTATGCTGCAATTTATGCGCTCACGGATTCAATAAAACCGCCTCGCGTCATGTCTTCCAACTTGACTAATAAGCCTTGGCCACGCTCATGGCCGCCAGCGTTCGCCTGCCCTGCATTCATGCACTGAGAGAAATTGAGGAAGATTAAATAGTATGTATATTTATTACAGTAAAATTATGTTTATTTGATTTTTTTATAGATTTTTGAAGCTAAGGAAACCTCTTATGGATCGTTTATTCAGCTTCCTTATTCGATAGTGTCTTGTAATTTACTTTAACATTTATTTTGGAAATCGAACTTAGAATTAAAATATTAGACAAGAATTAAGCTGAGGCATTCCATATTCTTTTTATTTTATAAAATACTATCATTTATAGGCTCGAAACCTATTTTTAAAATATATTATATAGAAATCACTTATTTTTCAAGTATGAATTGCCATATTTAGATTCAAACAGCTGCTTTCACGGCTCAAATATCTTGAAAGAAATATTTTCTTTATCTAAATTCTCCACAATTTTCTTCAAGTGCCACTCCCATATTCCCAGCTTCGTTGACAGCGCAACATTTGCGCGGGAGCTTGCAGTTTGCCAAGTTTGTTGCACGCCCGCATAAATAACACGTCGCAAATGCATAAACTGACTTTTTGTTGCCTAATTTATGCAGCACAAAAGACGAAACTATGGCCCTTCGACCACGCCTCCGCCTCCTGCCAGCTCTTTTTCGGGGACACGCCCCCTTCTTAGCCAGCGGAAACGGAAATTTTGTGCTGTGCACAAATAAATCAGCCAAACTGAGGCCAGAGAAAGCGAACAGAACAGGTTGCCTGCCTCGCAAATGTTGCACGAAATGCAAACAAGAAGGGGCTGGAGCCAACGGGGCAGAATTTCTTCATCAGGAGCGGGGCCAGGACTTTGGGCTTTGGGCATCGCAAAAGTTTTGTCCTTCTTTTCTTTCTTTTTTTTTTTTGTTTTTTTTTTTGATGATCAGCTCTGAAAACGACCTGTAAAGGTTGCCAAGGTATCAGTGAACTTACCTTTTTTTACTTTTACTCAGTCCAGGTGATGAACAAAAGTCAGTAAAGGGAGAGGGACTGGCCTCAAAGGATGAAAATTTGATCTGAAAAGTTATAAATAAAGTTTTTACATGGTAATTAGTTGGAGTAATTAATTTAGAGATTATCTACTATTTAAAGTTGTGTGTATTTAATTAAGAAAATGTATAAATAATTGTAATAGAAGGTGTGTTTATGTCAGTTCAAGTCAAGAATGGAAGAAACAGTTCAATTAGAAAATCGATTTACTAAAACTGTTGCCTAAAATAATTCTTGAACAAGAAAGGATCTAAATTAGGGTACGCGAAGTTTATGTATCCTTGCAGAGAAAATCGATCATAACTAAGCCAAAAAAGCATTAATTTCGATTCGGAAAGCTGTTCTGTGCTAGTTTTTAATGGGTTAATAAATCTGCATACATAAAATACATTTTTAAGATATATAAAATTTTGTCAATTTTTCAATTTGTCAACAAGGTCAAAAAATCACTTAAAAAGTCAGAAAAAATTTCAAAAAATTTATTTTCTCTCCTTGATGCCTAGAAAGATTCGCCTGTTAATGCTGATCAAGAATATATATGGAATATAGGGTTGGAAATGACTCCTTCAGTTAATTGTAAGCTTCTGACTGAAATTTTAATACCCTGCGAAGGTATAAATATTCGATTTCTTTTTATATGAAGATTTTTCTATAGTCCACATCTTAAAAAACTCATAACTAAGCCAAAAAAGTATTAATTTCGATTCGGGAAGCTGTTCTGTGCTAGTTTTTAATAGGTTAATAAATCTGCAAACATAAAATACATTTTTAAGATATATAAAATTTTGTCAATTTTTCAACATGTCAACAAGGTCAAAACATCATTAAAAAATTATGAAAAAATTTCAAAATTTTTTTGCTTTGCTTTATGCCTAGAAACATTCGCCTGTTAATGCTGATCAAGAATATATATGGAATATAGGGTCGGAAATGTCTCCTTCTCTGTGTTTTAAGCTTCTTACGAAAGTGTAATACAATGGTACAAAAACCCAAACATATTACATACCCACATATTTAATATGCCATTTTTCTATTGATTAAGTTTGTCCACTAAATTCCCTAAGTTAATTAAGCATTTATGACTAACACAGAACAACTTTTAACAAGTTAACTAAAGACAATAGAACTTGATTACTGCACAGAATACAATCAAAGTAATTATACTTCAACAAAACAGTCAGGATTTAATTAAAACAACATTTATTACCATATCCGAAAAGCGAATTAATTGCAGTTGGATGCGTTAGTAAAGTAAATGTGAAAAACAATATTTTTCCACAAAACTACAAACCAGAGTTGAATTACATATTAAATTTCTAGGTGTTTCTCAACTTTAAAAAAATATATTTCGTTAGCTCACACAAAATTCGCATAAATTTGGCATGCACTTGGGAAACTATAGCGAAACTTGTACGCTTTTATATTTATAGCTAATGTTTTGATTTACCGAGTGTGTTCTCCACATTACGCCCTAGTCTAGGGAAGGAAAAAGAAAAAGGGAAAACCTTGAATTTGGATATTTTTCTACCTGCTCACCTGTTTTATTTTGGCCGTGTGTTTGTGGCTGCTGTGTATATGTGTTCGTTCGCTATCTAAATATTTTGTTTTGGCAGTGCAAAAGTTTTGCCAGCCTGCCTGCCTGCCCTCACGGACTAGGCTCCCCCTTTTTGTAATGCAAAAAGTATTTACATTTTGCAAAGGCAGCCTCGAAAAGGACTCCTCGCCTGGCTGGCTGCCTGCCTGCATGCATGTCCTGTGCGGTTCCTTTGCAGATTTCGGAGCTTGGCCTAATAGGTTTTTGTTAATTTTGGGGATTTCACTTGAAAGGCGCTCAGCAAAAGGTTTTTACACATGTTGCCGCTTTTGCCTAAGCGCTTTCTCTCTCGGCTTTGCTTGTTTTTCTTTACTCTTTTTGCTATTATTATTATTTTTATTTTATTTTCCCGATGCAAGTTTTCCGGAAGCCAGCCAGGATATATGTGGAAATTGCATAAGCTTTATAATAAAACGCTGACTCTCCACTCAGGGTGGGCCTGGACTCCTAAAGCATGATAAAATCCAAATAGGAAACTTGCCCAGGTCAAAGGTGATTCTCAGGTTGTTTTAGGGCACAAACTTTTCCACTCCTATGAGAAAAGTTCTGACCCAAGCAGACAGATAGACGGAGTCCTGAAAGTCGGAGGGAGACGGAGAGAAACACAAACTTACATTAGATAGCTCAGTTTTCAGCTCGTTGTTGGTTTGTTAATGAGCCGCATTGTTGCCTTTTTAAAGAGGACACAAGGAGGAGCACAAGGATCTAGGGAAGCCCAGGCAAATGAAGATATGTGCGACAGGCACAGAGGGTTGAGTTACAAAGCAAAGAAAAGTGCGATGGTGATATATAATGTGTATTATATAGAAACTATCGTAAAGTATTAATCTATCGAAAATGAAAATAAATATTAAAATATATTCAAATATTGACAATAATAAATTATCAGAAAAATATTATTTAACGTACCTAACCTAACGTTTGCACTTATTTGTTTCTTTATAATATTTGAATTTGAATAAAATTGGATAGTGACTAAAACTAAAATTGATACATATTTTTTCTCCGTGTCTCTTAACTAGAGATATGGAGGAAAGTCACCATCTGGTTGGCTTTTATTTTGTGGCAGCGAACAGGAGGCGACATCAAGCCCAAAACGCTAACGACAACCGCCGACGATGTTTGCATATTACGCATACGCAGCGTTGTCGCGTATCTCAATTTGGCTGCCCGTCCCTCCTCGCTCGTCGCTCTTCCTGCTACTTCATTTTTGGCTGCAACACGTTGTGCTCTACTTTAGTTTGCTGTGTTGTGTCATAGGTTCTCCCTTCTTTTGGCCATCCTCCGTGCCGAATTCCCGGCTGACAAAGCAAATACAATAAATGAACGCCGCCAGCGCCTCATCCATGTCTTTCGGAGCGGAAGAACTGCACAGCTCTTCGAGGATATCCAACCCTCCGAAACCCCAAACCCTGCAACAAAATGTTGCAATTCGGGGCTTTGCAAAGCTTTGTGCAGTTTGCCATTTTATTATTTCTAGCATATTTTTTTTATGCATGAGTTGTTCCTCCTCTGACAGCTTGCAAAGTCAACGTCTGTGCCTTTATTTCATTTAATTGCTTTGGTAAATATTTAAATGTTTTAGCTTTGAGTGTGTTTTTTTGGGGGGGTTAACTGGTGAAATTACAAAGGGAAAATGGCGGAAATAAAAACAAGTCTTCAAGCTTCAGGTTTTGCCAGTCTTGAAGGTGGCTTAGAAACGGCTTACAAAGGTGGCAGGGGAACAAAAGAAAAGCTAAGGAAAATTTAATTAAATTAATTTAAATATAAAATAAGGTAAATACCTAAAAAATCTTACAATAAATCTAACTGAAATTAGATAAGTTTAAAAATTAATGAGAATTTTTAAACGGTTTTGTCAAAGTCATATTCCTTGATTAAATTTTGTTGTATATAAAATATCCTATGTTGGTCATTCTTTTTTTGCGCTTCAACAAAGACTAATAATATTTTTTCCTATATATTTCAGTCTCATACAACGCGACACTCATCCCGCTCCCATAATCAACTGCCGGATGATAAATGCCGGTGGCAAGCATATCCGAGATGCCTCACCAGCGCCAGATCACAGATCCGAGGCTCGTCTGAGGATAGATCCCAAGGTATTGGTCTTTGTGGAGACCACATACTCCGGCCTGGGACGTGACATAGCCGAGCTGCTCGTCTACAATCGGATCAAGTAAGTACTTCTTCTGCATTTATATGTATGTGTGTATTTCGGGCTGGGGCAAAAGAGGAATCATAGACAATTAGCTCAGACAAATTTGCATAATTGCAAAGGCAGCGATGCGGCGATAATTATTACACTCAAACTAACTGCGAAACGGAAGTGGCAGCGAAACCGACACCGCCACGTTGTACAAGCCAGGATGAATGGGAGCCAAGCGAGGTCCTCTGGACTCCGGAATGCTCTACTTTGCAGCTCCTCCATCCCTTCCTTCCCTTCTTCCTTTCCCTTGCTAGTCCTGGCCATTGTCAATGTTGACCCAATTTGGGTAGTTGGCCATAAAAAGGCAGGTTATGAAATTAATGCCAAGCTATGCAGCTTCCCCTCTGTATGTCTATCTGTCTCTGAGTCCTGGGGAATGGCAGCAAACCAGCAAAGCATTCCAGTTTAATTGGCAACTTATGCTTTTGTGGTCGAGTGGCCGCCACAGCATCTCCTCCCTCCCATTCATATCCATCCCGGGCACATCCATCTGGGCCAGCTCAGCCGGAAGTTGGTCTCTGTCCCTCTGGCCAGTGTCTCACCTGCTCACCACGCTCCCTGAATCCTTAACTCCACATTGCCCTGGCCAAGTCAGCAGTTTTTCCACTTTGTCTGCAGGCTCAGCCTGAACTTTAAGGAGAAGTTGAATTCCTAAGAGAACTGGATTGTAAGCTATGAACATATAAAGTTAAATAAGAAGATCTTGGATATTTAAAGACCTCATAGGTATTTTAAAACATTTTCCTGGAGAGCAATTATAATATTTATATTTTACTAAAAAGAAAGAACTCAGGAAATAATACAAATTGTATTAGTTTTCTCTTCCTGTCTAGTTTCCGTACAACTACTAATCTTATATAAATATTAAATGATGATTACACCTAACTCAACTCTCTTAAGACCCACTCAGATTCATTTCTCTAGGGTATTCCCCGTTCCCCAATCCCGAGGCTCATTTTTCGTTGCCTACCTTCTGGCGCACAAAGAGTTATTCTTTCCTTGGGTCATGCCTTTGTAATTCTGCTGTCTACAGCTGTGTGTGTGAGTTGGTTGTAAGTGTGCTTGCTGAGTGTGCTTGCTGAGTGTGCTGGCTGTTCCTGGGCATCCCATCCTGGCCGGTCGCCGCCCAATTGGTTAACCGCAGTGACCGCAGGATGCAGCCTCCTGCAAATAACCGCAATTATTATACCAGCTGCACTTTGGCACCGAGGGCGTGGCTAACTTTTCAATACCTTTGCCTCATTTTTATTTTTATTTTTTTCTTCACACTTCTTTAAAACATTTTCCCCACACATACATGTTTTGTGAATTGCGGTTAAAGGCATGAAAAATGGTTTGAAAAAGCCTGAGGACTTTTCCTGCAGCATTCTCTTCTCTCTCCCCTTTTTTTCGGAGTCCAAAAGTCAAAGGGCAAAATTTCAATTTGCCGCAGCTTTTGTTGATGTTGTTTGGACTTCTCCTTGGCTTTTGTGCTGTATAATTAAATTTTGTCGTTATGGCAAGAGCGCAGGGCAAACTAGCTTTACACACACAGAGAGAAGAAGAAGCCAGCGGAGGCGGAGCTCCTTCGTCTCATTTTCCTTAGACGACGACGACGAGTCCTTTAGTGGTGCAGACAAGTGCTTCAAGTTTAATGAGATTTCAAGTACAAATAGCAATAGCGCAGCGATGCCGTTCATCTGTGTCCCCTGGAAGGGGAACCCCTTTCCAGTTCCCCTGGCGCTGCCAGTTGAATAATGTCTGCCATTGTCTCCAGCGCTGTAACCAAATATGCAGGCGAATGACTCTCATGACCTAATCAACTTGGCCGTGTGAGCGAGCAGTGAGCTGGTAAAACTGTGAAGGGTAAAATGGAAGGTATTCAAGCTGAATATGTGGATAATATTAATATAAAATCCTGAATAAACTATAAAAAGAATAGTATGAATCAAACATTTGTTGTGCTAAATGTACTCTTTAAAAATCTGTCATTAAACAAGACTGTTGTTTTAGTATACAATTATTTTAAAAACTATTGAAATAATACATAAATTAATCCTAATCCTAAACTTATATCAAACTGTAAAAGCAAACCCAAAAGTCCTTCCATTTGCTTTTTATATATAATAAACCATAACTTCTTCATCAAATATTTGTGGTGCTAATCTCACAACCATTGCTGTATGTCAAAGGGCACTGCTTGATGCCTCCATTACTCGTTCAGATTGTTGCTGTACTTGTCTGCTTATCAATGACTTCATTAGTGTACTCTTCAGTGACTAGTCTGCTGCCATTGCTTGGGGTTTTGGGTACTCGAAACTTTGCCCAAGAGCATCAAGAGAGAGAGAATGGGAGAAGCAGTAGGGCAACAAATTTCATTAACATTACCATCTCATTATTGCTGATGACTTTTGTGTGTGGGTGTGTGTGTGTATGAAGGAGTTTTGGGAAAGAGCAGGAGTTTCTGGGTATAGTGAGTATGGGTGCACTCACTTATGCATATTAAACGAGCACAAAAAGAAAAAGGAATAAAAGTACAGAACGGGAAAACTAGACATGAAAAATAATCAGAAAATATCAGAAGATTATTATAGTTCAGAATATTTAAGAAAAATCAGGAGGAACTAGTTAGAAATGCTATAGTCAAGAGGGTTTTAGTAAGGCTACTTTACAAAGTTCTATCTCGTAATCAAGAGCTTCCATTAATTTGAAAAATAATGTCAAGATCCTATTCAACTTCTGATTACCTGAACTCACCTGCTACTCTCCTCTCTCTCTGCACCTTGATAGCTTAAAGGATAGGTGCCAGAAAGACTGCAAGCGATTGCCTAGTAATGTAGTTTGAGTTTGTTTCACAGCATCCTGGGGCATCCTGACTACAACATCCTCTGATACACACACACACAGACACACACGCTCCTGAGCAATCAAAGTTGTCGCTGGCGTCATGGCAGCCATTATTGAAATGCGTCCTGCTTCGTCCTGTGTGCGAATGAGTGGATATAGTGTGCGTGGACGGGACACAGGTGCATGCAACGGCACTTGCTTTTCCCATTATCAATTATTTATGAGCCAGAGCGACGCAACGCAACGCTGCTCATTGCTCCCAAGTTGCCACTCAATTAGCCATGAAAAATTCACTCGCTGACTTTCCAAGTGTCACACTTGACGTATGCGTAATGTTGGCGAGACAAATGCTAGAAGCTCTCTGTCTTTCTCTCTCTCTCTTTTGCTAGAAGTGTCGCTAAATTTATTCAATATTTGCAGAAATCTCGCTGCATTTTAAGTGGGTATATATCCTGAATATAGCCGTGATTTTTCGCCACATCCTAATGGACTCTCTCTCTCTCGGTTTGCTATCCCTGCTCTTTAGCCAAGCTCCAATTAGCTTGGCCAATTGATTGATTGCCAGCTTTTCGGCTCTTTCCTCTTCGCTGGCTTCTTTTTCTACTTTTTGTTGTTTTTTTGTTCCATACAAATGGCCACCGTTGTACATACAAATTTTTGGGGGCCAGAGAGCCGTGCCGCCAGCAAGTATGCAAAGTTTTGCAAAAGTTTTTACGCCCGGATTGCCGCCATTTGTGTGCGAGCCTGAAACTGGCCATTTTCCAAATAATAAACGGGGCCGTCGAAAGGCACAGAAAATACACAGGAATATAAGGGAAGATCAGGCTATAAAAGGATTTTTTAAATAATATATAAATAAAATAAAATATAATATTAAAACCTCTTTTGTTATGGGTAGAAGGTAGTATAGAATGAGCTTTTAAGTATGTTAAGCTAGTTAAGGTAAAAGATATTTATTTAGAGACCATTTCTTAGTTAAAAGCTTTCAAAGTGTTACTTAAAGTAAGCAATTCTACATATACATATTTTCTTGTTACTTTAATTCTCTGTGTATAACACACCAAAGTTTCTGCTGTCTCTAATGCTCCGTGAAATTCTAATGAAATATTCCGAGGTAATTACGCGGCCCAAAAGACACTGCCATCAATGGTTGCCTTCCCCTACCCTATAGATCGTTTATTAAATTGCCATTTATAATGTGCAACGGGGGATGGATGGAGGGATAGATGGTGTGCATTATGCGCCTAATAGCTACTTAACCTTATTTTCAATTTTTGATTTGGTCTCGACAGTCAGGGAAGTCAAGTCAAGTCGAGTCGAGTTGAGTCAGCACACGGAAGTCATCAGCAGCCTTGTTATCATTTCAGCCCGCCCACAGTGTGCCTTATGTGTGTGCACAGTGTGTGTGTGTGCAGTGAGTGTGGGTTTGTGTGAATAATGTAGCATGCTTTTGTGGTGGCTCAGGCCAAAAACTGCGCTTATTCCGGGCGCTGATTGCGCCACTGGGAGCCCGAAAACTTTTTAAAACGCGAAATGGCAAAAGGCGAATAACGAACGCCAACTCCGGCCCCAAACCCTCTTGGCTGACGTCAATTCAGCCAGACACATGGCAAACGCCATAAACAGCCACCACAATTGGAAGCTTGCCATGGCAAATTCAGGCTAGAGAGGGCCCAGGATCAGGACTGAGACAGGGACCAGGACCAGGACGAGGACCAGGACCAGGACCGGAACCAACACCAGCACCAGCACCAGGTCCTGCCTGCTGTTGTTGGCTTCTGGCTCCCCTTCGCTAACTGGCATTCCCAGCTGCCTGCTGCCTGCTGCTCCGCTTGGCTCGTCATAATCACACCCTTTTCGCCAATGTTTACTTTAATAATGTCGCGGAAAATTTTTATTTTCAATTTTTCACAAGTCAATGGAGTTTAACCAGCCACCAGAGCCAAGGGAGCACAGTGGGAATCAATGGGCTGTGAAATTATATTATTTTCCACAAGATATGAAATATACAAGGGCTTTAACCTGCTATTAAGGATTTTTGTTTAGAACTTTAGATGATTTATAATATTTTAAAATGAACTTTGAAAAATTATAGAAGAACAACATAAATCTTATGCAGACCAGCAGATATTCCTTTAGTTATT